CCCCAGGATTGTGCAGGGTGGGAAGAGCTGAGGCCTGAAATTTGAAATTGGAGAAGTTCCTGCTGCAGGGTTCCTCTTCTTTTAGTGTTGCTTTTAAGGTGATTTGTGGAAATGGAGATGGCACAGTTATCAAAAAGCTCTTAAGTGTAGTCCTGACTATCAAAGCAATGTCCCATGAACAATTACAGTTAAAATAATAATAATAAGAGTAATGACAAAAATGCTGGCTTTCATTTTCTCAGTGATTAATGGAGCAGCACCAAACTGGGCCAAGTCCAGAGTGGTGCAGTGACATTGAGGGGGTTCCTGGGGGACAGAGCAGAGCTTTGCTGACCCCACCCCAGTGCCCGTGGTGGCTCTGAGCTGCTGCTGCATGTGGCAGGAGGGTAGGACACGGTGCTGCAGCAATTGCAAAATTAAACCACTAAATTTCTGGAGTTATTTATAGCTTGCTTTTTGCCAGCATATTAAAAATCTATATTTTCTGTTCCTGATAGGAATATAATTCATTCTTATTGCCAGCCTGTTAAAAGCCTGTGTTTGTGGTTTCTTTTGGGAATATGACCTGACTCGGAGTTGATCCCCAGGAATGAATCTGGGAATTCTTGGATCCCATTTTTTTATCTCTCTAGAAACACATTTTCTYTGCTCATATTGTGGTTCTTCTGGAGCAGAATGGTGCTGGAAATTCCTTTGGGAAGCTGCAGGATGGTGCTGGAGACTCCTTTTTGAAGCCCCTCAGAGCACATTTTTAGGATTTACCAGAAGAAATTCCTTAAGAACAGTCACACAAAAAGCTTTTTCCTTGTGAATCCGAAACACTGGTGAAGCAGAGAGCAAGGGAGCAGGGGATTGACACACTTTATTCAGTGCCCTCCAAAAAACGTGCAGTTTGCAGCAAATCCAGCAAARGGGAAAATTCCACTTTTGTCCGAGGTGGCTCAGTGCGTTATTAGGAACAGATTTAGAAACTAATTTAGGACTCACTTAAGTATTTTCTAAAAATAATCACTTGTCTGTCACCTTTCACTCAGGAATTTTCGAATGGATCCCTGATCTGGAAGCTGCAGACCCATTTTCCATTTTTTGGATGAGATGAGGGGTGATGAGATGAGGACAGGGGGGTTCAAAGGTGCTGGAAAGGATGGAGCTGCCTCCAGGGGTTTTGGGATCCCACAGAGCYCAGGTCTGCAGTGCTGGGTGGGGGCTGAGCCAGCAGAGTTTTCTCATGAGTGATTTTGTCCAGGCTTTTCCCAGATTTTTGATGCCCAGGCAGTGCTTTGAGGAGCAARTCTGGCTGCCATGACAAGATTAGCACTGCAGAAAGTCCCTTCCATCTGAATTTTTACATCCTACCTGAATCCCACTGCCCTTCAGGGATATTCAATCCCCTCTGCTCTCTTTCCTCACCCCATTTCTGCCTCTTGGAGGGTTCTCCCCAGGTCACACTGGGGTTTGGTACAGATGTAACAGAAGGAGCTGCTCTTCCTTTGCCTTTATCCTCTTGGAAAGAGCTTTTTTAAAATGTTAACCTTCCAAGTTGCTGTTCTGGCCAGTTCGTTTGGGAGCTCACAGTACCCTTTTTAGCCAACACTTGAGGATAAGTGAAAAGTTTCATTTTTTGAGGGAATATTTGACCCACRAGCTGTCAGTCTCTTCAGCACGAAGGGCATTTTGTGTTTTGGAGTCAGGAGAGCTCTGATCTCTGTGGCTGTGCCCTCTYTGGCACAATCTGCYATGTTCCTTCTGTTTTTCTTGCTTTTATTGGCATTCTGAGTTTTCCCAGCTCTGCCCTGTCCCTCGGGGCACGGACTGGCTGTGTTTCTGTGTTTCACTCTCAYTTCTTGGCTGCTGCTCTAATCCAGGGTTCATATTAACATTAATATTAATATGCATTGATTGGCTGGCTSTGCTGTTCCTCCTGCCTATTGTGGGTGAGAACAGAGCTCTGTCAGCACCTGCATCTCTGCTCTGATGGATTGGGCTTTATGCATTTCTGCTGCTGCCAGCTGCTTTTATTCATGGCCTTTGAAAAGACCTAATAATGTGTTTGGAAATATTTCCTAACACAGGTCATATATTAAACCCCAAGTACCTTAATTATGCTTTGGAAGAGCTACARCCCATCCCTAATAGAAACACCGAGGTGTGTTTGCAGGCCATGAAATTTGGGTTGAAAGGAGWCATAATGCACTGAGATTCCAATGAKCTGGAGATTGTGGCTGGAAACAAAACCAATAATGCAGCAAGGGAATTCCAAATGGAGAGAGCAGGATGGATCAGGGCTGCTCAGGGAAATGAGGCTCRTGGGGCTTCATTCAGTGACTCTGCAGGAAGAAAGTGATTGTTTGAAGAGTTATTTGGAGCTGTTTGACGTTGGAAGGATTAGATTAGTTCAGATTACACCGTAACCAGATATTTTTTGTGTCTCTGTGTTAGCCTGAGCATCTCCAAGTCCCATTATCGGACTAGGGAGACTTTGATGTGGGATGGAAATAGCAAAGCTCTGAGTTGTGGCTGGAGCAGGGGGATGTGCTGGGAGAAGAAAAGGATTTCAGACTTGTGCCAAATATTCATTGTGATAACTGTTTTTTTTTTTTTAAAAATAGCTGTTTCTGAGTGTCTGAGCAGCTTCCCAGCTGTGCCCCAAAGCAGCTTWGGGAGGTGACAGGGTCACTGCACCACAGGTGGAACCACACTGGCAGAACCAATGGGGAAGTTTTTGTCCAACAAAGCTCAGAAATGTTTAATAGCTGCAGAAATAGGGSTCAGAAGGAGGAGCTGCCCCAGCCCCAGGATTTCAAGTGATTTCAGCCTCTCTTCAGGGGTCAGGAACACTCCTGGTATGTGCCAGGTAATCYACACCATTCCCAAGGGAAAGAGAACATCAAGAATGCATTGTAAAAGAGAAGGGAGGTGAGAGTTAAAAGCATCAGACATTGAGTCAGCCCTGCAAATGWGAGTGTAAGAAAATCAGCCTCCACGAGCCCGTGGGTGCAGACAGACACACGGCTGTGCCTGGGCTCAGTTTTTGCTCTCAGCATTTCTGGAGGGTTCCATTGCCTGCCAGGTTGTGGGTTTGGGCAATGAACCAGTCCCTGAGCAGGGCTGGGACTCTGCCTTCTGTTCTTCACTTGGAATCCAAACTGTGCAGCAGCTCTGGGAACAGAGAGGCAGCTGATGAGTTCCCAGTGAATTATTAAACATTTGAACATTCCCAGTGTGGATGGAGAGATGGACATGGATCCTTCTAGAGATGGGTCTGGGGTGGTGGTTTTTGTTTTGGAAGGTTGACTGGGTTTGAGTTGAGAAGGTTGGCAGA